TCGGCTTGACTCGGTTTGCATTTATAAAGAATGCACACGTGTTTAATCGTTAATGTCAGATATGTACTAAGTAAATACATTTGTTCCTGCTCAAGATTAGATTCAACTTTATTGTTATTGCACATATTACAGGTACTGAGACAACGAAATGCAGTTTAGCTTCTAACCAGGTGCAACAAGCAGTAAAGTGAAAAGTAATGTACACCAATCTACAGAATAAAATATAGAATGAATTGAATGATGAATAAACAGTGAGGGGTATGAATACACTAGATATACACAGCAGCCTGAGAGCAGTATGAACAGTGTGTATGAATATGCTAAGATATATAAAGTATGAAAACGGTAAGCAGTGCAAGTATAGTATAAAATATATGGATATTAATTTAATGATGATAAATATTGTGGAACAATGATGAAAAATGTGAATGGAAGTGGCGACGTAAAACTGAAACAAAACAACAAACTTTTGCCCAGCCAATGGAGAGTTTCATCACCAGCACGTGGTAAAAACCACCAATGAGCGCTCAGCTCGAGATACCAGCGAGTCGTTTCCCATCAAGCATTTCGCTTCCGCAGCCCGTGGAGAGGAACTGCGCCGCCTCGCCGCGCCTCGCTCTCAAGGCTGCGGGCGTCTTTGTCCCGCGAGATTTCAACGTCTCATGTAGGCGAGCCTCCAGAGAAAGTCGGACAAAATGACTAACCATCATGCAACGCACGAGCAAGACGTTGATCGAAATTGCGCAGGTCTCGCTTGTCTCAAACAAGCCTAATGTCAGACGATCAGCTGTGCAGCGTCATCACAACCGGACGTCGCTTCACGTGACGCTCCGGAGGAAACGACGTCCCATTGCTCTTAAAACTAATGTCCCTGCTTCTCGTGGTTTCCTTGCGTCTCTCCATGCTTCCCTGGTGGGAGGGACTAGTCACAGGGAAACGACGCAAGTGAGGGAAGCAAGGAATCCATTTAACCGAAGTGAAACGCACTCGTGTCTCCTTCATGAGTCGGTGACTGCATTGCTACACAGAAGTTTCCCCCCACAAGAGGGTTATTGAAGAAAAACTCTTAACTAATGGCCTAGTACTTGGAATATGGTCATGTAGAATAAGGCACTAATAAGAGTTGAATACTGACCAATAAAGGGCCAATATACTGCTAATATGCATGTTAATTAACAACTAGTTGATGATGAATATCTACCTTAATATAAAGTGTTTCCTAAATGTGCAGACTCTCTGCTGAATCTGTTGCATGTTCTTCTGTCCAGCGCTTAGCGCTTAGCGTCTGGATGTACAGGCCTTTTGTAAATGCAGTTATGAATAAAACTATTGCCGATCCACTCTGATTTAGAAATAAACCTGAGGACAATGATGTCGTAACTTGTCCAATATCACACTAGTTTTCATTCTGGGCTTGGTTGCTCTTTATAAACTGTAGGTGGTCTCTTTAAAAGCACATTTTAAGAACAGATGATATCTTAGGTAGTCATAAGTTTATCTTTAGGTAGTCATAAGTGGGCTGATTATTTTTTGTATATGCATTTTGCAGTGTTTTATGTAAATTAAGGTGCATTATACACTATTTAAGTCCTAAATGTACCAGGCTTAATTGTATCATCCGGCCAAGGCTCTTTGACTCACTTTATCACTGCTATTCTTTTTGCATTTAACGACATCTTAAACTGGGGTTAGGGATATCAAAATATATTTTAACGATATTGTTTGACGATAAATGCTTTTAAACAAAAATATTTACACATTTCTGATAAATAGTATCAGTAATATGGATATTAGGGTTTCATGATTTGGAAATAATAAATATTGATTATTTTGACCCATACTGTGAATTCATTATAAGAGGGATTGATTACTTTCTTTTAACATTTATTCAGCCTTTATCAAAATACTGTGCTTCCTGTCATTTCAGTATTGCTCTAGTCCTTATTGAGATGTTATGGTGCAGCCCTAGGATATGACTAGTGAGTGAAGACTAGTCCAACAGGTCTGCTAAGTACATACATGTATGTGTACACACACACACACACACACACACACACACACACACACACACACACACACACACACACACACACACACACACACACACACACACACACACACACACACACACACACACACACACACACACACACACACACACACACACACACACACACACACACACACACACACACACACACCTTTTTTATTCAATTTGTTTTGACATTTTACTTTAACTTCCTATTTTTATATAAATATTTTAATTATATTTTATCTTTGTTACATGCTAGATTCTTAAGTTATATAAATTATGTTGCCTTTTTTCTTTATCTTCTTCTGTGTAGATACATATTTTTAAAAACACGTGGGTTTACTATCCGGGCTCCAAAATGGTGGAACGAGCTCCCCATTGAAATCAGGACAGCAGAAAGCTCACACACCTTCCGTCGCAGACTGAAAACTCATCTCTTTCGACTCCACTTCGAGCGATAGAATTACTAACAAAGCACTTATATACTAACAAAGCACTTATATACTAACAAAGCACTTATATACTAACTAAGGAGTCGGACTGGCTTATCTAAAGCCAGTTGAGTAGCACTTGAAATGTTTTAGCTCTATGAAACCTGATGTACTTATATGATTCTGTTTTCTTCAAGTTTGGATCTTCCTGGTCGAACGCACTTATTGCAATGTAAGGTCATGTAATATATTTTATTTGTATTTGACTTACAAAGTACCTATGTTTGTATACATATCTTTATATACACAATGGCTTCATTCAGTATTCATCTTTGTTTTACATTATTGCTTGTTATACTTATCAAACGCCATGCATTTGATATTGTGTGAGCGTTTCAATAATTTGTGCTAAAGCCATGGACCAATTCCCCCATATGTAACATACCGATTTTAATCAAATGAAGTTTAAACAAAGCCTTCTGTGTTAGTGTGCATCATTCTTTTGTTACGGTGTGTTTCCTGCAGTGTGTGGGTGTGTACAGGTGTGCTCACATGCATTTCTGTGCATTCAAATCTCTGCTGAGAAAATCTGTGTGCAGGAATTTGTCCTACTTAATGAAAAGGTGTGATCACGTATTCATGTGAGACAAACACAGCATATATAATGGCTTGCCAAGCTGGCGTTGCTCTGTATGGGCTGTAAGTGTTGTTTCTTTATTTTTTGCAGTATTGTTGTGATTTAATATTGACTAATTATTCATTAGATGCATGTAAACTAAGGTGCATATTACACATCTATTTAAACAAGTTCTATATGCTTTAGTGTGCATCATTCTTTTGTTAGTGTTTCCTGCAGTGTGTGGGTGTGTACAGGTGTGCTCACATGCATTTCTGTGCCTCCACGTCTCAGTCTGATGTGATAAAATCTGTGTACAGGAATGTGTCCTACTTTATAAAAGGGTGTGAATGAGAGAGGAGCATACAGCATATATTATATGTGTGGATTGCCTAGCTGGCGTTAAAGCACGAGAAACTCCACATCCCTTGTCTGTGTGCAAGACAGTCCGTGTGAGTATGAGAGTGTGTGTTTGCGTGTGTGTTTGTTTCCAGCTCTCACCAGGTTGGGTGTGTTAACACTGAGAGCTTCCTGCTGCATCCATCTGCCTCAAACTCAACAGCGCCGAGCTGTCACTGCACATTGCGGGTAGGTGATCACGATTAAACAACCTGGGACACGGTTCAACTAACACGAGTGTCACGTTAACGCACTTTGTGCCAAACAAAAGGGTGGTGGTAGCCCGTTAGCATGGCATGCTAACGTAACTAGTTGTGTCAATTTGAGCTAGCTAGCTAGTAAACCGAGCTAGGTTAGCATTGTAATGGAGCTAGCTCCGATAGCTGCTTTTATGTGTCACGATAGGCACGATGGCGAGGCTCATTTTGCATAAAGAAAATCTGTACATTTCGTGCAGATTTCCGTGCGGGTGTCAAGTGGCTAATGTCAACAGCTAACGCTAAGCTAACGGCTTAACTCAGGTTAGTTCTGGTTAGCTTGTCACCGTTAACCTGGAGCTAACGTCGTTGCTCGGAAACTGGAACTGACAGTTTACACTTAATAAACAAAGGGTTATGATTGTCCAGATTCTACTACCTCACTCTTTGTGCATCTAACAGACAAATGTATCTTTGGTGTTGCGTTACCGGCCACCCGCTGTGAATAATGGCCAAATAAACTGACCTGAGGGAACTGTTGGGCTCGCGCACTGCACGTGTTGTCATTTGTCCAGGACAGGTGTTCCAGAGGATGCACGAGACTTGATTGAGGAATTCATTAACATATCATGTAGTTGTCTGCTTCAAATACAGCCGTGTTTCTTAGCTCTAACATGGCACACATCGGTGTACAAAAAGCATGCATGATTGTTAGCTTTAGTATTGTAATATGTTCTTGTATTATTATAAGTATTGCAGTTGTCATTCAAAGTAGGGCTGCCACATCTCAATTAAATGATCTTTCGATTTCTTAATAATATGGTTACATACATATGATTATGTGTGTTCTAGTTGATCTGAAAAGCATTTAAAAACCCAAATATGTTCATTTTACTGTCACTCGATGTAGGTCCGCCACTTCTAAAAAAGATAGATTTCTATCTGGTCTTAGTCAACTAAGATTTCTTAAGTCAATAAGTTATTTTGTATTTCTAAGGAGTGTCAAAGTGTTGCTTTACCATGCTCCTTTGTGGAGAGACTCAGGTTTACAGATCTGTCTATCGTATCAACTAATCATGAGTGTCAAAGAACATTCATCTGTTTGCAACTCATATATCAATATTCCAATGACTGTAGACTATTCTGCACCGTTTCTATTATATTCTGTTTCTGTTGTATTATATTTTATTTACTTGTACTATTTTATCTGTGTTATTGTGTTGCTCTGTTGGAGGAGCCTGTGACCTAAGATTATAATGACAATTACAAAGCCTTGAAACCTTGAAGTCATCTAAGAAATTCTGAAGTCGAGGACACCTATAATTAAAAGCAAAGGAAACAAATTCTAACATTTTAGAAACTGGAATCAGGAACTTCAAAGGATGACATTCTTGGAGATGATTGATCCTTTATTTCTGAATGTTTAACAGCTGCTTAGTGTTTCATCAAAGTCAACTTTATTGTCAATCTTTCAGTTTGTGTGTACAGTCGGAGAGATCGAAATGCCGTTTCCCACAATCCCGAATACAACATTAATCGTTCTCTTTCTGATTTATCTCAACAGGGTTGTGAAAAAGAAAGGGACGCTGGTGGAAACCCCCCTCTCTCTCAGGACAACACACTTATCTGCTCGCTCGCTCACTCTCTCTCCCAAATCAGAGACTCATGACTGTTTGAGGGAAAACGGACCCACCGTGGCCCATGCACTGTACCCGTTTCCCTCCCTGTCCTCCTTATCCCTCAAGCTGTCGCAGAACCCCAGACACCTGCCCCCTCTCCCTCACCCCCACTCCCACTCCCATCCGATCCCCAGCGACTCGCCGCCTCCCGCCATGGTGTCCGGCACAGAGACCGTGCACTACATCCACCTCCACAACTCCAGCCAGTCGGTGCTGGAGGCCCTGAGAACGCAGCGGCGCGAAGGCCTTTTCTGCGACGTCACGGTAAGGATACACGACGCCTCGCTACGAGCACACGCCTGCGTCCTGGCCGCCGGAAGCCCCTTCTTCCAGGACAAACTCCTCCTGGGTCACTCTGAGATCTCCGTGCCCCCTCTGGTGCCCGCGGAAACCGTCAAGCAGCTGGTGGATTTCATGTACAGCGGTTCCTTGGTGGTGCTGCAATCCCAGGCCCTCTGCATCCTCACTGCCGCCAGCATCCTGCAGATTAAGACGGTTATTGACGAGTGTACTCAGATTATCTCTCAGAGGAAAGCGGCGGCTACAGCAGCGGCGGCGGCGGCAGCGGCGGCAGCAGGAGGCGGAGGTGGAGGAGGAGGAGGAGGGATGCTCGGAGGAGTTCTCCCTAAACAAGAACAGCGAGGCGGGGGGAAAGGGAGAGAAAGCGGGGGCGGTGGGAGCTGCTCTGTGGGTGCAAGCGGAGGTGGAGCGTACGCAAACTTCCCCAACTTCATGGCAGAATGTGCAGCTAGTAACATGGGCGGCGGGTTAGGAGTCGCCAATGTTAACGATTCGGTTCAAATGGAGCAAGCTAACACGGTGAGTTTGATGTCTTTGGGCGACTTGGGACCAGGATCCATGTGTGGTGGAAACGACGGGGCAATCCTCATGAAGCAGAACTCCAGCTGCACTCAGGACGTCCGGTACAAGCTGCGGGACCTTTTGGCGCAGACGGCAAACGGAGCGGGCAGCACGGGGAACCTGTCGGCCGGGTGCAGCTCCGGCGTGGGCAGCGTCGACAGCATCGGCAGGGACAGTCTCAGAGGAAACGCCGGCGATCTATCGGACGAGCTGGTGGCGATGGAGCGGTACAGCGAGGAGGAGGAGCACGACGGCAGGGATCGGGGGAGAGAGGGAGACCGAGACAGAGGGGCGAGTCACAGCCGGAAACAGAGGCAACCGCTCAGGCACCAGGTATCAGAATCAGAAACAATTCAATTCAAATGTAGTTATATAGCCCAATATCACAAAACACATTTCTCTCAGAGGGCTTCACAAATCAACAAACATGAATGATAATGTAAAAACAACCAACATATCTGAGAATATAGTAAAAATGACAAGATAAATGGGAAAATACCAACGAATGGGTACAAAACACAATGACACAAATACAGTTAGATTTACAATAATTACAATTCCATAAAATCTGAATCGGAATACCTTTTTTTGTCCCACAGAGGGGAATCAGAAACATGTTTATTACCAAGTACGAGGAATTTGACTTGATGTCATGGTGCATACATAAAAGTAAAAAAAAAACACTATTTTCAGAAAGCTATAATAACATTAAAAAATATGGTAAAATAAAATATAGCAGTATTTACAAATAGAATGGAATAAAATATGTGCAGTAATACAAATAAATAAAAGACAGATTAATGTTAACGAAGAAGCATGCATAAAAAAATATTAAAGAACAAAAGTACGTTAAATAAAGTAAATATATTAAGGTGAGTAGGAGCTGCTGTAACAGGAACCAGTTTAGGTAAGGGGAAGGGTTTCCATGGTTACAGCTTTCAGGCACGCAGAGCTGCTTTGCTTTTTCGCTTCTTTTTCCTTTTGCTGCTTTTTTCCCTCTTCTCACACACCACACACTGACTGCAGATGTTCCTGCACTTTGCACAGTTGAAGAGGAGCTCTCGCCTCAACTTCTGCAGTAATTGCCTTGTTGATGTTCTATGGACTTCTGCTCATTCACTGTAGGTCGTTAAACTTATCAGTTCACCGGCTTTTAAAAAGGAGCTCTAACTAACTCCATATGCTGTGATCTTCTGCCTTTTAAGCTCCTGCAACTAAGGCAAACGTTATCTCTTTACTACTTTGCATTGAAATGGGGTGTTTTTCTTTCTCCTGGTCAGGTGCTGGGAGGAGAAGGCGTGGTGGTGAAAGATGAAGGCGTTCAGGATGGGACCATCTATTCCATGCAGGACGGGAGAAGAGATGGACAGCAGGAAGGCTCCCAGGAACCCATGGCGGGATTTGGACAGGTGGGTTTAACTCAGAGGTGCCTACGAAAAAGGCCAACTGAAAATGTACGGATTCTCTTACATTTGGCCAAAGAGGGGAACTTTTCAGAAATACCTTGATGTGTAAGATGGGTTTTTTTATACTCTTTTTATTGTCATTTTTTAAAACATACATGTACACCATACACCCGCTTACATACATACAACATGCACCCGCATACATACATACACCATGCACCCGCATACATACATCATACACCCGCATACATACATACAACATGCACCCGCATACATACATACAACATGCACCCGCATACATACAACATGCACCCGCATACATACATACAACATGCACCCGCATACATACATACAACATGCACCCGCATACATACATACAACCATACACCCGCATACATACATACAACATGCACCCGCATACATACAACATGCACCCGCATACATACAACATGCACCCGCATACATACAACATGCACCCGCATACATACATACAACATACACCCGCATACATACATACAACATACACCCGCATACATACATACAACATGCACCCGCATACATACATACAACATGCACCCGCATACATACATACACCATGCCCCCGCATACATACATACAACATGCACCCGCATACATACTACAACATGCACCCGCATACATACATACACCATACACCCGCATACATACATACAACATGCACCCGCATACATACATACAACATGCACCCGCATACATACATACAACATACACCCGCATACATACATACAACATGCCACCCGCACATACATACATACAAACATGCACCGCAAACTACAATACATACAACATGCACCCGCATACATACATACAACATGCACCCGCATACATACATCATACACCCGCATACATACATACACCATACACCCGCATACATACATACAACATGCACCCGCATACATACATACAACATGCACCCGCATACATACATACAACATGCACCTACATACATACAACATGCACCCGCATACATACATACATCATACACCCGCATACATACATACAACATGCACCTACATACATACATACAACATGCACCCACATACATACATACATCATACACCCGCATACATACATACAACATGCACCCGCATACATACATACAACATGCACCCGCATACATACATACAACATGCACCCGCATACATACAACATGCACCCGCATACATACTACAACATGCACCCGCATACATACTACATGCACCCGCATACATACATACAACATGCACCCGCATACATACATACAACAAGCACCCGCATACATACATACAACATACACCCGCATACATACATACAACATACACCCGCATACATACAACATGCACCCGCATACATACATACAACATACACCCGCATACATACAACATGCACCCGCATACATACATACAACATGCACCCGCATACATACATACAACATGCACCCGCATACATACATACAACATGCACCCGCATACATACATACAACATGCACCTACATACATACATACAACATGCACCCGCATACATACAACATGCACCCGCATACATACATACATACAACATGCACCCGCATACATACAACATGCACCCGCATACATACATACATACAACATGCACCCGCATACATACATACATACAACATGCACCCGCATACATACATACAACATGCACCCGCTTACATACATACAACATGCACCCGCATACATACATACAACATGCACCGGCATACATACATACAACATGCACCCGCATACATACATACAACATGCACCCGCATACATACATACAACATGCACCCGCATACATACATACAACATGCACCCGCATACATACATACACCATACACCCACATACATACACCATACACCCGCATACATACATACAACATGCACCCGCATACATACAACATGCACCCGCTTACATACATCATACACCCGCATACATACATCATACACCCGCATACATACATCATACACCCGCATACATACATACATCATACACCCGCATACATACATACAACATGCACCCGCATACATACATACAACATGCACCTACATACATACATACAACATGCACCCGCATACATACATACATCATACACCCGCATACATACATACATCATACACCCGCATACATACATACAACATGCACCCGCATACATACAACATGCACCCGCATACATACATACAACATGCACCCGCATACATACTACAACATGCACCCGCATACATACATACAACATGCACCCGCATACATACTACAACATGCACCCGCATACATACAACATGCACCCGCATACATACATACAACATGCACCCCGCATACATACATACACCATGCACCCCCATACATACATACAACATGCACCCGCATACATACATACACCATGCACCCGCATACATACATACAACATGCACCCGCATACATACATACACCATGCACCCGCATACATACATACAACATGCACCCGCATACATACAACATGCACCTACATACATACATACAACATGCACCCGCATACATACTACAACATGCACCCGCATACATACATACAACATGCACCCGCATACATACATACAACATGCACCGCCATACATACATACAACATGCACCCGCATACATACATACAACATGCACCCGCATACATACTACAACATGCACCCGCATACATACTACAACATGCACCCGCATACATACAACATGCACCCGCATACATACTACAACATTCACCCGCATACATACATACAACATGCACCCGCATACATACATACAACATGCACCCGCATACATACATACAACATGCACCCGCATACATACATACAACATGCACCCGCATACATACATACAACATGCACCCGCATACATACATACAACATGCACCCGCATACATACATACAACATGCACCCGCATACATACATACAACATGCACCCGCATACATACATACAACATGCACCCGCATACATACATACAACATGCACCCGCATACATACATACAACATGCACCCGCATACATAAACATACACCTTACAACATGCACCCGCATACATACATACAACATGCACCCGCATACATACATACAACATGCACCCGCATACATACATACAACATGCACCCGCATACATACTACAACATGCACCCGCATACATACATACAACATGCACCCGCATACATACTACAACATGCACCCGCATACATACATACAACATGCACCCGCATACATACATACAACATGCACCCGCATACATACATACAACATGCACCCGCATACATACATACAACATGCACCCGCATACATACATACAACATGCACCCGCATACATACCTACAACATGCACCCCGCATACATACATACAACATGCACCCGCAATACATACAACATGCCACCTTACATTACATACATACAACATGCACCCGCATAATACATACACAACATTACACCCGCATACATTACATACAAACATACACCCGCATACATACATACAACATACACCCGCATACATACATACAACATCCACCGACATACATACATACACATTGCACCCTACATACATCAACAAACATGCACACCCGGCATACATACATACAACATGCACCCGATACATACAAACATTCACCCGCATACATACAATGCAACCCTCATAATACATACAACATGCACCTCATCATACATACAACATGCACCCGCATACATACATACAACATGCACCTACATACATACATACAACATGCACCAGCATACATACATACAACATGCACCCGCATACATACATACAACATGCACCCGCATACATACATACAACATGCACCCGCATACATACATACAACATGCACCCGCATACATACTACAACATGCCCGCTACATACATACAACATGCACCCGCATACATACTACAACATGCACCCGCATACATACATACAACATGCACCCGCATACATACATACAACATGCACCCGCATACATACATACAACATGCACCCGCATACATACATACAACATGCACCCGCATACATACATACAACATGCACCCGCATACATACTACAACATGCACCCGCATACATACATACAACATGCACCTACATACATACATACAACATGCACCCGCATACATACATACAACATACACCCGCATACATACATACAACATACACCCGCATACATACATACAACATACACCCGCATACATACATACAACATGCACCCGCATACATACATACAACATGCACCTACATACATACATACAACATGCACCCGCATACATACATACAACATGCACCCGCATACATACATACAACATGCACCGCATACATACAACATGCACCCGCATACATACATACAACATGCACCTACATACATACATACAACATGCACCCGCATACATACATACAACATGCACCCGCATACATACATACAACATGCACCTACATACATACATACAACATGCACCCGCATACATACTACAACATGCACCGCATACATACATACAACATGCACCCGCATACATACATACAACATGCCCCGCTACATACATACAACATGCACCCGCATACATACATACAACATGCACCGCATACATACATACACATGCACCCGCATACATACATACAACATGCACCGCATACATACAACATGCACCCGCATACATACAACATGCACCCGCATACATACTACAACATGCACCCGCATACATACATACAACATGCACCCGCATACATACATACAACATGCACCTACATACATACATACAACATGCACCCGCATACATACATACAACATACACCCGCATACATACATACAACATGCACCCGCATACATACATACAACCTGCACCCGCATACATACATACAACATGCACCCGCATACATACATACAACATGCACCCGCATACATACATACAACATGCACCCGCCTACATACATACAACATGCACCCGCATACATACATACAACATGCACCTACATACATACAACATACACCCGCATACATACATACAACATGCACCTGCATACATACATACAACATGCACCCGCATACATGCATACAACATGCACCCGCATACATACATACATACAACATGCACCCGCATACATACATACAACATGCACCCGCATACATACTACAACATGCACCCGCATACATACATACAACATGCACCCGCATACATACATACAACATGCACCCGCATACATACTACAACATGCACCCGCCTAACATACCTACAACATGCACCCGCATTACATACATACAACATGCACCCGCATACATACATACAACATGCACCCGCATACATACATACAACATGCACCCGCATACATACATACAACATGCACCCGCATACATACACAACATGCACCCGCATACATACATACAACATGCACCCGCATACATACATACAACATGCACCCGCATACATACATACATCATACACCCGCATACATACATACAACATGCACCCGCATACATACATACAACATGCACCCCGCATACATACATACAACATGCACCCGCATACATACATACAACATGCACCCGCATACATACTACAACATGCACCCACATACATACATACACCATGCACCCGCATACATACATACAACATGCACCCGCATACATACTACAACATGCACCCGCATACATACACCATGCACCCCGCATACATACTACAACATGCACCCGCATACATCCATACACCATGCACCCCGCATACATACATACAACATGCACCCGCTTACATACATACACCATGCACCCGCATACATACTACAACATGCACCCGCATACATACATACAACATGCACCCGCATACATACATACAACATGCACCCGCATACATACTCAAATGTGTGCAGAATAGTTACTGCACATATAACATACATCTCTCCATTGGTGGCAATAATCTCACCTTAATCGTGTATGAGGGTTTTCAGTCTGTGGCTATAAGGATGGTTTTATTGTCTCGTGCTTTTACATTCGTTTTGTTTTGTCCTATCGGTTTTGTCTAAATGTATTTATGCTGCTTTTTTATTTATGTATTGATGTACAGCACTTTGGTCAACTCTGTTGTTTTTAAATGTGCTATATAAATAAAATGGGATTGCATGTAGCAAGATATCTATGTATATCAGCTAACATACCAATTACTTAAATACAGAGAGAAGATTAATAAGAATAATAAATCATCATCATAATGGCCTGAGGTGTGGCGTCATTACAATGAGAAACATCCAATAGAAGGGGAAGAAAACATTATTCTCACTATTTCTGTCACAACTCTTGAAAGGAGAGAAAACACAGCGGAGCGGATTTATGCCGCAGCCTGCTGCAGACAACACAAGGAACATCTGCCACACAGGACGCAGCTACAGGCCTGTCAGTATGTTCCTCTAAAGTGCTGCAGAGTCACTCACGACATGAAATGGAGCAATTTGGGAGGAGGTTAGGGCGTTGTGTTTTTCATGTGAAGGAAAGCATGTGATCATCCATTTACCCAGCACTGCTTGAAATAATCTAATCTTCTGAACATGAGCAGTCTCACTGTTCTGCTCTTTAGATCATTTGACACAGTGTGAAAACATCTCATCACAAACCTTTGAAACCTGATTCATCTTCGAGCATTGCTTTTCATTTTGGAAGTGTAAGACAAAAAGGAGCCTCCGATTGTGGTACCTTAGCCATTTTACAAATCGTGTTTTTTACTTATCTTTCTACTAATGAAGAAGAAGAAGATTCAACTTATTGTCATTACGTAGTACAGGTACCATGTAACGAAATAGTTTCTCTGCATTTGACCCATCCTAGTGTTAGGAGCAGTGCGCTGCCATTAAGTACGGCGCCCGGGGAGCAGTGTAGGGAGCGGTGCCTTGCTCAGGGACACCTCGGTAGCACTTGGTCTTTCCGGGACTTGAACTGGTGACCTTCCAGTTGCCAAGCCAAGTCCCTATGGACTTCGCCACCACCGCCCATTTGATCCTTTTCAAATGTCAAGACTATTCATGCCCAATATTGAGAGATGGTTTCATCTCAAAATAACTTATTATGAAAAGAGTTAGAGGTATGATAAAATACACTGTGAGACATTTAAAGGTCCCGTGTCATGGCCATTTCTACTGATCATAATTCCACTGTTGAGGTCTACTAGCATAGATTTAAATTGTTCAATGTTCCAAACTCACATTGGTTTCTCACAGCATCTCTGTATAGTGTGTGTATTCACTCTCTGTCCTACACGGCTTGTTGGAGCTCCTGCCCCCCCCCTCCCTGTGAGCCCACTGTGCTCTGATTGGTCAGCTCGCCCACTCTGTTCTGATGAGTCCACCACCGTTACAGCGGGACATCAGTGATTATGTGTTACTATGGCGTTTGTTAGCAACCAGGAAATGACACCAGTAATGACAAACAGATGAGAATGCTGCGTGGGGTCTGGGTGCCGTGTTGGCGGGATGTTGCGGGGCTCGCTGCTCCGCCCTTTGAGGCTCGAGGAGCGGACAGTGTGAGCTGGGTTACTGGTGTTGTTTCCTGGTTGCTGCGTGGGGTCTGCGGGACATCGCGAATGGATGCGGTAAGGGGGGGTGCTGAGGGGGCTGCAGCACCCCCATCTGCGAGGCTCCACTAGCGAAAATAAAAAAATGAGATGTTGCAGGTTATCTTCTGCTATCTTAAGCCGTCAAAAGTGTAAAAGTATACCTTAGACTCGGCAAGGAGAAGTAAAGCTTCAGGATATAATCAAACAAACCGCTATACCGTTAACTGACAGTGTTAGCTGATCTAAAATGAATGCTAGAGGAGCTAGCAAGATTTTCCACTGATTCCGATATCCTTCTTATTGTATAAGTAGTTAGCCTAGCTGCAAATAGCGCCAACGTCTCAACAATGTTCTTCTACTGGGACATGTGTCCATGCTCTAATGTTCAAAAAGCTCTTCATTGTTCTCATACTGTCTGTGCTGCAGCACCTCTTTTCACCCTCTGTCTGAAACCAGAGCCCAGTCTGCTCTGATTGGTTAGCTGGCCGACTCTGTTGTGATTGGTCAACCGCTTAGAGATGTCCCGCCCCTTAGCCTATCACGTACAATGTGTTGGAGCGCTAGCCAATAGAAGCGCAAGTGTTACAAAGTGATGTCACTATGTTATGGAAGTAAACAAAGGAGTCCAATGGAGGCGTTTCAGGCAGGGGAACTTTGGGATTTTAGCCTTTAGCATGTTATGTTATGCTATTAATGTTAATTCTTGATGAATGATGAAAGGTTACTTAAACATTTTTTTCTTAATGTTCTAAAATTGTTTGGGCCCCCGTGGTGAGGTTGTTTGGGGTGGCCAATAGGGTGGCCAGGATTCACCCCCCAGCTCCGCCACTGTTATCCCCCTGACAAACAGAAACAGTCCTGTTGGGACCCTGCTCCCTTCACGTCAGACGAGCTTCACTCACCCTGGTATTTCTTCACACATTATCTCCCCGGCAGCCATACGTTAAAGTGTACCTTTGATCCCTGCTGTTTTGACAGAAATGCAGCGCGACTGGTCGGACCGCTCTGTACAAGTTGATCTTTCCAACGTCACTCTCGCATGTGGACGATAGGGGTAAACAATAGGTTGTAAATGCAAATACTGGGGGACGTGGTCTGTAGGTATATGTACAAGAGAGGAGACGCAGTGAAGGACCCAAAACATATGTAGTTAGGGTTTTGTTTCTTTATGCACACATTCATCAAGGGAGACGAGGAAGTTGTGAATCTATGGAGCAGGTAATCGTTCAGTACTTAAAGATACAGTATGTTATTTATCTGAAGCCGAAAACATGAAATCTATTGAAGCTGCTGTTGTCAGTTTTCCTGAGATATGAGTTGGGTTCTTTAATTATTTATCCTGTGTGTTTTTGTGTGTATTTTCAGAATTTTTACGATGAGCAGGGGGTGTTTTCGGAGAGTTTCTGGCCCCAGAGTGAGCCTCCTCAGGCCATGGCTTTCAACCCCAGAGGGAGGGTCAACAAGCCCCTGACTCCCCCTCCCACCTCTCAGTCCATCAACAACCAGGTCAGTGTGCTCAGCCGCTCATAAGCAACACCTAATTATATTCAAGCTGTACTGCAATTACAGAAACACTTTGGAAATTGCATATCGTTTTCTGATGACTTTCAAGGACATTTTTATTAATTAGGAACTCTCTTTTTAATTAAATATCTAAATGTTATGGAATTCTGATACCAGATAATTCTCCAGTATCTTAATATTAACATTAATTATTAAATATGGAGAAAAATCAAGCTCAAGATGTATAAGACAGATCACTTTAACTACAAATAATACAGAATCCAAGCAGAATTTAACACATAGAAGCTCTAGGGAAACTCAGAACAATGAAACGGGTGATGGAGTTTTTTTTAGATGCAGTCTACTCATTTTGATTGACAGGTGTGTCAACCAATGGAGCCTCTTTCCTTATTTACCCATAATATATATGTATAAACAGATATACACCCTCACACACACACACACACACGCATAAACAGCTGTCTATGCATACATGTTTACCGCACACTATTATTATACTTTAAATACAACCCAAAAAATACATGATAATGATTATGAAGGAATACATTATAATTAGGGCCGGGACTTTAACGCGTTAATTAAGATTAATTAATTACGCAAAAATTAACGCGTTAAAAAAATTAACGCATTTTAATCGCACTTATTTTTGCACCACGGAACGTTTCTCACTGGATGAGTTTCAGGCGTACCGATTATACTGGAGCACCAACTAACGTTCATGACTTCAGACAACAAACCACAGTGAACAACAGTGGGAAATGTTGTTTAAAAAAACGGACGGATGAAAGCGTCGATAAGAGCACGGTTGTGTGCAAATTATGCAAAAAGGAATTCGCATATCACCGCAGCACATCAAGCCTCAAGTATCACCTCAATGCAAAACATATAGCAGCTAGCGTGGAAGCTAGCGTGGACGTTAGCCTCTTTTATCGCGTTCACACCAAAAAGAGCCGGTACTAAAATGTGTTCATGAGAACCTTTTTACCCCCACGAAAGTCCCTGCTAGAGAGCAGAGAGCTGCTAGAGAGCAGGGACTTTCGTACGGATCTCTTGTGAGAAAAGAGCTATATGTCTGATTGGCTGGGCGGATTGCAAACCACGCCCCGTAAAACTCCAAAAAGTTTTGTGAAGCCGCCATTTTATTATCCTCGCATTAGCATTATTAGCATTAGCATTAGCCCAGCGCAGAAACGCAGAGAGACTAACTTATGGCAACACAAAATAAAACATGGGAGCGGTGGAGATGAGGAGATGTCGGCGTTCTGGCGATTTACTCGGAAGGCTTCAGTAGAAGCTGCTGGGACTCCCAGCAGCTTCTACTGAAGCCAGTCCCCAACTTCCGCCCGGGGACTTTGGGCGGCAGTATACGCCGTGAAGTGGTTTGCGGCCTGCCAGTAAACCCAAAGCAGAAGAAGAAGAAGTGACGTCATCGGCTTCATTTGCCTAATCCACCCCCAGGTTCAAAGAGTTCTCATGAACTAAGTTCTCATGAACCTTTGTGGGAAAAGTACTGCGGTGTGAATGCGCCTAATGGTATACTAAAATCCATGTGAACAATATTGCTTCTCACTGTTCTCAGGTCAAATATTTATATGTGATTAAAAATGCGATTAATTTCGATTAATTAATTACAAAGCCTCTAATTAATTAGATTAATTTTTTTAATCGAGTCCCGGCCCTAATTATAATAACACATTACTTAATTAAATCCTTGAAAAAACGTTATCAACTTCTAGGTTTATTTTAGTTCTCAAATACCATTTGTTGTGTAGATATGGAATAGAAATACAATGCAATTTCAGATGATCTTTTAAACAGCACAGCAGAGAGAGAGAACATCGACCCCCTCCCCTTATATTTGTAAATATCTAAACAAAATAAATACAAACAAGGAAATATAAAAACATGTTCACAGTTAATTTTCACATTTATTCTGATTGTGACTATCTTTTGAACAAAACAGAACGGCACAAATCAAAGAATCGTATTGTAGATATCTAAACAAAAGAAAGGACATTTTCTCCGGCGCTAACAGTTGACGTTTTCTTCGTCCTCAGCTCCTCTTCCAGTACCCAGTGAGCCAATCGCAGCCATCCCCCTTCTATGTGGGCGGGCCAATGGGTGGGATTGACAGCATGGCGGGGGCGGAGCCAACTCAACAGGCTCCACCTCCTGCGCCAATGACCCCGGCCCCGCCCCCTCCCGCCTCCTCGGCAGGCCCCTCCCCTTCCTCCCAGGGATCTGAGACCTCGTTCGACTGCACGCACTGTGGCAAATCTTTACGTTCCAGGAAGAACTACAGCAAGCACATGTTCATCCACTCCGGTAAGACTCCAGAGGAGTAGTGGAGTACAAATACTTCGTTACTGTACATAAGTACATCGTTCTGGTTTCAGTACTTTACTCCACTACTTGTTTTTCTGACGACTTTTTACTTTGACTTCTTACATGTTGAACTCAAATACCTGTACTTTCTACTTCTTACATGTTGAACACAAATACCTGTACTTTCTACTTCTTACATGTTGAACACAAATACCTGTACTTTCGACTTCTTACATGTTGAACACAAATACCTGAACTTTCTACTTCTTACATGTTGAACTCAAATACCTGTACTTTCTACTTCTTACATGTTGAACTCAAATACCTGTACTTTCTACTTCTTACATGTTGAACTCAAATACCTGTACTTTCTACTTCTTACATGTTGAACTCAAATACCTGTACTTTCTACTTCTCACATTTTGAACACAAATACCTGTACTTCTACTTCTTACATGTTGAACTCAAATACCTGTACTTTCTACTTCTTACATGTTGAACTCAAATACCTGTACTTTCTACTTCTTACATGTTGAACTCAAATACCTGTACTTTCTACTTCTTACATGTTGAACTCAAATACCTGTACTTTCTACTTCTCTCATTTCCCAAACAGCTGGTTCCTTTAGTCTGAATGTGTGTTTGATGCGTGATCATTATTCTTTAGAGTCATTGCGTGCCTATTAATTTGAACACGATCCGTGTATCCATCATTTCCTGGTTCTTCTCTAAAGAAGAGGGACCAATGGAAACGTTGTCATGTTGCCGTTGTTCAGCATGGAAACATTCATTAGCTAACAATGACATTATTGTTCTATTAATTATAAAGGGAGGGTCAGGTACTCTTTAAAAAAGCTGCCTAGTTATGGGTACTTTTTACTGAAGTCCATTTCAAAGCCTCTTTACTTTACTTGAGTAAAGAAGTTTAGTCAGTACTCTCTACTTTCACCAGAGTATTTTTAAACACGAGTATCTATCTTCTACTTGAGTAAAGGATGTGTGTACTTTTGCCCTCTCTGCAAGCCTCATCCTACACCTGGCTTTGTGTCTGATCTATAGTAGTATATTTTGTATAAACGGTCAATCAATTGACGTGGATGCCATGTGTAAAGGGTTGTTTGCCGTGTCAACATCTCAGGTAATTTGGTTTAACGACACATTTACTCGTTGTTGTTCGCCGTCAAAACTCTAATGGAGCTGTTCTCATCGCGGATGTACAGTAAACTAAGAGTTTGAGAAAGGGTTCCACGATATCAGAAAAACATGCGATAACACTGTTTAATATTGCGATAACGATATCACTTATCAGCTGAGTAAATGATACCTCTGTTGGTTGGCAAGACTTGCATCAAACCCGTGTTTGTAGAACTTAATCTTTATTGAAACGTAAATACTTCCAAATAACTAACGTACGTTATTTTTACATACCAGTTTTTTTCTGCCTCGTCTCTCCCCCTTTCATTGCATTCAAAATATGCTATAATGTGAGATGTTAACAGGGACTGATCCATGCAAATGTTCTCTTTGCACAAAAAAGTGATTATTAACTCAATTTGATGCATATAAGGGTATGTTCGTTATACTAGGTCATGTTTCTTACATTTTCTAAAATCGCAAAATATTGCCCTGCCAACAGTGTTACGATATATTGGGATGTATTCAATCTTAACCCATGTCTCATCATACATATTGTATCGTGACATTGTTACATACAGACCTAATGTAAACGGCATATAGACACAGTGTTCTACTGAGGAAAGTGGAACATTTAGCTTCTTAAGCGCAATATTTTTCTCAAATGACCAAAAATAGGCTAAAAAGAGAGTTCATATAAGAGTACATTCATCAGGTGGATTTGAAATGTATATTGACAAAGCTCTGTGACTGCTGGATGTTTGAATACGTGAACAAGTTCATTATAAAAGGATTTATCAAGGCTGTGCGTCGTCTGCCAGAAAGAAAATCCTGCAGCTTGAATTCGTACTTCCTCTCTCAGACGATAAATCTTGAGCTTCTGAAGAGGCGGAGGAAAAGATCTCTGGATGCTGTACAGATATATATATTCCACCATACAGTGGCATTCATTATTGATAACATGGAGGATCCTTTGAAAGCATATACTGTATAGAAAGAACCAACCCTAAACCTGTGAAAGACTTCTTATATCATCTTACCTCTAGTAACTCCAATCTAACACATTTACTTTGAATGATCTAGATCAGGGGTCTCCAACCTTTCTTCATCTGAGAGCTACTTTGAAAAAATGAAAGTGGCCAAGAGCTACTTGCATCACATCGCTTAATTAATCGCACATCAGTTGAATTAAACTTTTGCACACGTGTGAAATTGCAATACCTAACCCTTAAAAGGTCAAACTCTTCACTTCACATCGAGGTCCAAGAAAACAACAATTTCTCAC